TTTTATTTTGTTCTTTAAATCACTAGTTAAATTTCATATATATATATATATATATGTTGATACAAAAATCTACACCAATCAGAGAATTCTGATTGACCTTGTTGGAATCAGAATTGATGTGCGTGTGATTTAATGAAAATCAGCAATATTTGTAAAAATGCAATAAAGTGAAGACAATAAGAGTTTTAAAGTGGTTCAGCGAGGTTAACTCTGAAGCCTACGTTTATTGTTTTTGTATTTGCTGTGAGAGCTTACGAAGTAGTTCCTATGTGAATTCGTCACCTATTTCTCATCGTTTGAGGGGGGTTTTTATACAAGATTTGTACAAAGAAAAGAGCGAAATTATGGGGATTACAATTGATATGAATTGCAATTATGATATTCTCACGATTGGGCGTTGTGACTGTGCAGTGATCGCTGTTGATCGAGTCATTCCTGTAATATCTGGGATCTGAAGTAATCTGGCGATTGATTGAATGATTGCTCGGATTGCTCGCGACTAGTTTATCTAGGTTGAGTTATAGCTCAACGAGCTTATGCTGGGTTGATCAATCATTGTTGCCGAGCTAGTTCTAGGTAGAGTCATATCCTCATGAAGGCTCGAGCTTGATGGAAAAATCATACACAACATCTGCCCCCTAGTGTTCGATGCTCGTTTCGGGCTTTGAAGACTATTATTTGATTTGACGTCAAGCTTGGCCTCATCAGTAGGTCTCCGAGTGTAAGTCTAATCGAGCTTCCAAGGTCGACCTTATGTCTAGCCGACATACTTCACACTTGGATCTTTACTTTTCATGTTGCCCGTCAAAACTCAGAATATGGAAAGTTAGGGCAAACATGTAATTTCCATGTGGTTGTGTCACATTTAATGCAGCAGTCTTTGGTTGTCACGTTTCGTTGCGTGTGGGCAATCACAATTGTTCATGCGCGAAGTTGAGGCGACGGTTATAATTACAGCCGTCTAATGATTCATCGCTCCTCGTGGATGGTTGATACATGGCCACATCTGAGGGTTGAGATTGCTCGACGAATGAAGGGCCAGGATCAATTATAAGTCGACAGCACGATTGAACCTCGTTCTTTCATCTCCCATGCAAACCGCTATAAAAAGTTGTGAAAACTATCAGAATAGTTACTTCGAAAGTTCTATACCTCTCTTACTCTTTTCATCGTTGTTTCTACATCGTCAAGGTGGTCTTTCCAGCGAGTTGTTCTACATTCCTGATTTTGGTAAGGTTCTTTTCCCTTTCCCTTTCCGTTCTATGTGATTTTTTGCATCAAAGGGTGGCCATTGTAGTGGCCACATTGTGTTTTTTTAGGGTTTTAGTAAGGTTTTTGGGTGCATCTCCGAAGGTCTCGAGTTTTATAAGGGCTTAACATTGTGGCCGCAGGTACCCTAGATAGGTTGCATGCATTCGTTGTGTTGCGCTAGCTACCTCGGGTGCTTGAAATGGAAGCGAGTGTGGAACAGTTACCGATTTGTTCGAGCTATGACACATGTTTGCTTCTTTTTTAGGTATCCATAAGTGAACTACAGTCATGCTTCCTCCAGCAGTCGTACTATAGATCACATGTTCGATTCGCCGATGGACTTGGCAGCTCTTGGGGATGTGACCCCCGAGGTCTCCAAAGAATTTGTAGCCCGAAGCTTAGACCTCGACCCTATGGGCTTGTCCAACTGCGCTTCGATCCAGTTGGCTCACTCCCAATCGTCCCCAGCTCATAGATTGCGAAAGGAACCTCGATCCTCGATTACCATCAGGGATCTGGAGAGCATAAAAGCATTCTATACACTCTATACACCCCAGTTTAACCTAATGGTTCTAAGGAAGCACTCTCAGAAGAACCCCTCAATCGGATGGGTGGCAATCTCTGAGACCGTTCTCAGGTGCGGGGCATCCATTCCCCACACTATTTCATTGACAACGTGTTGAGGCGATTTGACAACGTTCCTCTTTAACTATCCGCTAATTCATACGTGATCATCGTCGCAATGTACATCGCGTACATGATCACTGATCTTGGTGAGCCATTCGTCGAGGAACTCATCCATCTATATAGGCTCAAGAAAAGGCAAGACTAGACATACTACCTTTCCAAGGTGAGGAAGGTACGTCTCAACGGGCTAGTCGACGTCTTGAAGAAGGTCTCTCATTGGGACTCGCAGAACTTCTTTTACGAAGCCCAGGAGACCGGTGTCTTCACCGCAAAAGCGAGTAAGGTTTTGACTTCTTGTGTGTGCACGGATTGCTTTTGAGCTTTGTGTTGCATCTAACCGAGTTATTTTGTTTGTGTAGTTAATGTCAAACAAAATTTTCTTCTGGCCGCAAGCTTACAGAGGCTCCAACGTTTTAGCGATCTTCTTGACAACCAACGCAACGTCAACGAGCTTCTCATGCTTCCTTATTTGAAGGCGTACGACTTTTGTCGGGATGAGGCCAGATTCCTTACAGACCTAAAAAGGTTAAGTTGTTATTTGCTGGCGTTTACTTTCCCACGTAAATCGGTCACTAATTTGTTTGCCTCTTTCCTTGCAGAGATGTGGGCCAAAAAACCCAAGGGCCTTAAGAAGAAAACGGTGGCCCCAATAGCTGCCAAGAAGGCACCGATTGCTTCGTTGATGAAACAGCTCACGAATTCTGACGGCTCAAAGCTCGCCGATAGTGAGCTTGGGGAAGGCCCAAGAACGAAGTAGCCTATGACTGCCTCTAAGGCAGTTGGCGGGAAGAGCGTTACTGAGCCCCCAAAAGGGGCTAGCGAAGAAGACACCCGAGCTAACTGGAGGCTCGGGAAAACATAAAGCATCTGAGCAGCATGATGGCTCCGGGAAGAAGAAAGCAATCGAGCCTCAGGGGGGCTCGAGCAAGCATAAAATGGCTAAGCAGAGGGTTGGCTTGGGCAAAAAGGTCGCCACACATGCTAATGGCCTTCAGAGAGTAGCGACTAAGGACTTGGCCAAGAAGAAGTCTGCTCTTGTGGGCGAAACAGGCACTGCCAAGGGGAGTAAGTCTAGATTGCCTTGGCCAAAAAATAAGAAGATAGACGAGGATGCTTATTTTGCGGTCGACAAGGTGATCGACCAACTCCCCGATCATATCAGCCTCGGGGCCGCAACGGTCAGGGATGTTGTCACCCTGCCAACTTACGTGGCCATTAGGGATGCTACGCCCACCGAGATGTTGGGCTTGTTGTGCAGCTTTACGGCAAAGGTACCGGTAGCTCGCTTCCCTTCTTTTTTACTCGTATGCTATCCTTACTCTTTGTTGATCCTCTTTATTCTCTCTTTAGGCTACCTTGGTGAGCAGGCTCTTTTATGATGAGTGTTACAACACTTTGAAAGGTACTCATCAAGGATGGCAGGTGGCGGGGACAGTGAAGGAGGACGTTCTGGCCAGGGCCGAACATGCAAAGAAAGAGAGGGAGGCGAAGCAGGCTGAGCTCGAACGACTCTAGGGGGAAGTTGTTATCTTCCAAGTCAAGGAAGGGGAGTTATTTGACAAAAGCAATGTGAGTGAGGCTGCTCGGGCCAAAGCTGAAGCTAAGGCAGCTGAAGTCGAAAAGACTTTGGCACAACAGTGAGGTGCCAACAACAAGCTGAACTCTAAGCTATCCTTGGCTCAAAAGGCTATTGTGAGCTGGGAGGTTAAGTTCAAGCAGTCTTTGCTCAACCTTGCCCAAGAGGCGGTAGGTCGCCAGGAGGCCGAAGTTGATGCCAGGCAGCTCGGGCTTCGAATTGAGGAGCTGAATGAGGCCATTACTAATCAGGCTTAGGAGACATTTGTCTTCCTTGTTCAGAAGTTATAGGAAGCCCATCCTTCAATCAAATTCTCTTACCTTCCGTGAGCTTATTAAAAGGAAGTCGAGAGGATGAAGGTTAAAGCCCGAGGAGAGACCTATGTTTACTCAGACGACTCCGAGGAAGAGGACGAGAGTCAAGAGGAAATTGAGGAAGGCGAGGAGGAGCTTGAGCCCCAGATTGAAGTCCAGGATCTGATTCCCCCTGACCACGCTTCCCGCAACTGAGGCTCCTAACCTTGGAGAGGAAGTCGTCATTCCTCCTGTCGACGAGTCATCTCTCCTTCTCGACGACGACGACCTTCTGGGACAGGTCGAGGATGAAACTCCTACTCCCCCAGCTGCCTAAAACGTCATCTTTGTCGTTAATTGTTATTGCGCCCCCTCCCCCTTGAAAGAACGTAATCAAACTCAATCAATATAAGAATATTTTTTATTATTTCCTCATTAAGCAATAATTATCACATTTCTGCGGAGTCATTTCATTGTCCTAGTTGGACTTGTAATATAAAATCCAAATTTGCTCTAAGTCATGCGTAGCTCGCTTCCTGAGGAGCTTTTTCAGATTTATGCAAGGAAATCTTACGTACTGATCAACTTCAATTTCAGACTTATCGTCCTTTTCGAGTTTTTTTTTTTTTTTTTGTCGCTGGCTTGAGGTTGATTTCCCTCGATGTGTTTTTTCTTGAATTTTTCAAGTTTAACTTCGTCGATTTAGGATGTTTCATCTTTAAAGAGTTGGATTTTGCCGTGACTTTTTCGAGATAGGCTGCTTTTCTTGGACTCTTGACTTCGAGTTTTCTTTTTGGGATATCATTGCTTAGGTCGCAATTTATGGATTGGTAATTAGATGCTAATGAACTAAAGACATTAATTATGAACAAAGAAGATAGTGAATAATACCTCGTTTATTGATCAAGTGCTTTGGTCATGAACGGCCTTACAACAAATATAGAACAGTGAAACCCGAGCTGCTTATTGGTAAGAGCTTAGCAAGTGCTCGGTGTTCCAAGCTAGCATTATCGCTTTGCCATTGAGGCGCTCTAGTGAAAAGATCTTAGTGAGAGCTTTTCGAAAATCCTAAAAGAACCTTCCCATTTGGGTCCAAGTGCCCCCAAGTTTGGGTTTTAGGTTCCCTGGACGACCTTCTTAAGAGCCAGATCACGTACTTCAAAGTCTTTATTTTTTACTTTGGTATTGAAGTATCATTTGGCTCGTTGTTGATACAAGGCGAGCCTTAACTGAGACTTGGCCCAATGTTCTTCAATCAGGTCTAACCTTAGGCGGTAAAGGTCATCATTTACTTCTTTGTCAAAGGCTTCTCTTCGGAATGAACTGATTCCCACTTCAACCGGGGCCATTGCCTCACACTCGTATGATAGAGAGAATGGGGTTTCAGCTATCGAGCTCCTGGTTGTCATTCTGTAGGACCATAGAGCTTTTGGCAATTTATTGGCCCATCTTCTTTTAAGGTCGTCGACCTTTTTCTTTATGGTGTGCTTGATTGCCTTGTTTACAGCTTCTACTCGCCCATTGGCTTGGGGCCAATAAACGGCGATGAAACTTTTCTTGATGCCGAGCTGCTCGCAGAAGGTCTTGAAGTCTTCGCTGTCAAACTGTTTCCTGTTATCAGTTATTATTGTTTGGGGAATCCCAAACCAACAAATTATGTTCTTATAGACGAAGTCTTTAAGCTTGTTCGACGTTATTATTGCCAGCGGTTCGACCTCTGCCCACTTGGTGAAATAGTCCACGGCAACTACTGCGAACTTTACACCCCCCTTTCTTGAGGCAAGAGGCTGATAAGGTTGATGCCCCAGATCACGAATGGCCAAGAGCTTGTTAGAGTGATCAATTCTTGAGGTGGAGCTCGCGTGATATCTGCAAATCTTTGGCATCTATCACACATGTGAACATAGTCTGCTGCATTTTCATAAACTATTGGCCAATAATATCCTTGGTGAAGCACCTTGTATGCTAGATATCTGCATGCCGCGTGGTGTCTACAAATTCCCTTGTGGATTTCTCTCAGAACATAGTTCGCATCTTCATGGTCAATACATCGCAGCAGCGACACATTGAATCCACGCTTATACAATTTATCTTTGATGAATGTATATTGAGCTGCTTTTGTGCAAAGTGTTATGGCTTCAGTTCTCTCATCTGTAATGTTCCATCCCTCAAGTAGAAGGTGATCGCATCCATCCAATTGTATCTTTGGCTCGTAGCTACGACTGATTCTTATGGAGCGGTGATGCTTGGCTTTGGTAGGAACTTGACTAGTATGGACTCAATCTTCTCTTCGCCCATCACTGAGGCTAAACGAGCTAGAGCACCTGCTTGTGAGTTCTTCTCCCTTGTGATTTGGAGGACTGTAGAGGTCCTAAACTGCTTGAGCTTGGTTTCTACCAATTGAAGGTAGGACACCATCCTGTCTTCCTTTTCTTGGTATTCCCTGATAATTTGGTGGACTACAAGTTGTGAGTCACTGTACACCTTGACGGATTCTGCCCCTATTTCCTTGGTGAGGCGTATTCCCACGAGCAATGCCTAGTACTCAGTCTCATTGTTGGAGGCAGCGAACCCGAATCTTACCACGGCTCTGATTTAGTTTTCCTCAAAGACTTTTGAGCAAGGGCCTCGCTACTGCCCCTTTCTCATTCGAGGAACTGTCCATGTACAAGGTCCATTACCACAAGTCATCGAACTTCGGCTTCTGTTGTTCGACATCCCTGGTGGTATTCACCCCCGACGGGCTTGTTTCGCCTTCTGGCTGGCAGGAGAACTCAAATATAAAGTCTGCCAAAGCTTGGCCTTTGATTGCTGTCCTTGGGATATATTTGATATCGTGTTGACTCATTTCCATTGTCCATTGGATCAATCTACCCGATGCCTCAAGCTTCTGTATTATTTTCTTCAGAGGGAAGTTTGTCAGCACGTGGATGGAGTGTGCCTGGAAATAAGGTCACAGCTTTCTGGCAGCGACGACAAAGGCGAAGGTGAGCTTCTCCATTTCAGGATATCTCATCTTCGTGTTGAGTAGTCTCTTGCTCACATAATATACCGACGATTACACTTCTCTTTTTCGTGTACCAATGCTACGCTGACGGCAGACTTTAATACTGATAAGTACAACAGTAATGGCTCACCCTGGATGGGTTTTGATAGTAGGAGAGGCTGTCCTAGATGTCTCTTCAGCTCTTGGAAAGCTTTCTCATACTCCTCTGTCCATTTGAAACATTTCTTCCCTTTCAAGGTTTCGAAGAAGAGTAACCATTTGTTTGTGGCTCGAGAAATGAACCAGCTGAGAGCGACCATGTTAGGAAACGACCCGGTTGCGCAGCGGAAAACAAAATTTTATACAACCGTAGATCTTTCCTTAAAGCCCAAAATCAAGGCACAAATTTTACAGTTTATGTATAATATCAAGAATCTGCAGAAAAATAAAATAAATCTAAAGTTTAGATTCATACCCACGTTGGAGGCTCCACCAATATTGCCTCTGAACGTGTTTGCTACCGATCCAAGTGTAGGATCGAACCTGCGTAGTCCACACGAAGACAATCTTAAAAGAACCAAAGAGGGATTTGCTAGATCCTCTTTGGCTTCAAGATTAAGAAGAAAACAAAAATCAATTGAATTGATTTTTAGGCTTAAGATGTTACTGCCGTGGGAGAAGCAAAAGGGCTGCTGTGTGTATTTTTGTGTTTTACAAAGAAAAACCATTAATTAAAAAATCACACACTTTTCCTTTTATACTTAAAAACAATTTGCCCTAATCCCATACGGAATAGGCTTGGGCTCCAACCCAAACGCCCCATGTTGCCAAACACTCCCAATTTGATTTATTTTAATTTCCATCATTATCTCAATTAAAATCAATTAATATATATATTTAAATATATATTAACATTTAACAATAATGATAATATATTTAAATATGTGCGAACACACATTTAAACGTAATTTCACTTATTTAATTTTTCTAACAAATTAAATAAAGGCTACGACCTCAGCAAATTTAATTGCACTGTGAAATTACCAAAATACCCTTTCGCCTTAAAAGACGAAAACGCCCTTCTTTCTTCTTGCATCTTAAATTGTCTTCTATGTGTGTGACCCTTAGGCTCCTCATCATATCGGCAGTGTATAGTATTGCGATTAACACCAATTAATCGTCTCACTAATACACAGACCAAGATTGGCCCCTAGCAAGGCATCATGGCCACCCGATAGATTCGGATTCAGCAAAGTAGCTACCTGTCAACGATATGGTTACCGTGCAATTCGATCCTTTCATCATACGTTATCTCGACGAGACGAAGGCATAGAAATAGTGTCAACCTTCGGTTACTCTCGATATTATTTATTCAGTTTCTGGACCAATGACCCGTATTATAAACTGGATAGAGCAACAACTCAATCCCACTGTGGCCACAGTTTTAGTGTCATTGCCATATACTGAATTGCGCCGTGAGATAACTTTCTCCCGTACCCGGGAGTGATGAATCCTCTGTCAATCCACCATAGTCTTGATACACTCCTTGATGCAGCCAATCACCACCGTATTGACAGCTCTGAAAAGAACTGCGTTAGGCTAGTGTCAAACTACACCAATCGGTGCACAAGGCGCTCCGGTGATCTCAAGTCTAAGGATCACATGCACCACCATTCGTTAGAGGATTTATTCCATAGACACTGGGGTTACCATCCATACGGAATCTTCTAGTGGGTCAGTCCAGTGAACTTGCTGCGGTATAATCGCCTACAGCAAACACCCATGTGTTGCACCAGGTTGTCACCAAACAACCTTGACAAGTGAGATCAGTCATTGCCTTTCGACAGGGTTGTTCAACACTATGATAGCCTTACTGTATTATCTTTTCCCTTACTTCATAATAATACTAGGGCTACGGACGTTTCTAGAATGGCCACCATATGTGCTCATAGGGTTCTCACCATCAAGATTTGAAACATTTGATACCCTCATCACGGTTCTACCATTCTAAGGACATATATCAATACATATTGCAATAATAATGATTTACGCGGTATAGTATAAAATGCATTTTATTGATTAATGAACATTATTACAAAAAGTCAATTCTACAATAATTGATTGGCTCTAGGGCATCTACTCTAACAGACAACACGTCCTATCAAACTTTATACCTACTTGATGCTAGTCAGGCTTTTCATATCGAGAAGAGCATTAATCTTTTCTGGGTTGGCTTCGACACCCCGCTGGTTCACAAGGAAGCCTGGGAATTTCCCCGAGCTCACTCCGAAAGCACACTTCAAGGGGTTGAGCTTTATTTGGTTTTTTCTGAGGATGTCAAACATTGCCCCTAGATGCTCAACATGACTTTCGACGACCTCAGACTTGACGAGCATGTCGTCGATGTAAACTTCCATAGTCTTGCCAATTTGGTCGGTGAACATCTTGTTCACCAAACGCTGGTAAGTCGCTTTAGCATTCTTGAGTCTGAATTGCATGACCTGTAACAATAAATTATGTGGTCAGTAATAAAGGAGGTATGCTCCTCATCAGGCTAGTACATCGAGATTTGATTATATCCCGAGTATGCATCCATAAAGCTAAGTAATGCATTCCCAACTGTTCCATTTACTAGCTGATCGATCCGCGGAAGCGGAAAGCTGTCTTTGGGACAAGATTTATTTAGATCTGTAAAGTCGACGCAAGTCCGCCATTTGCCATTCGACTTTTTGACCAGGATCGGATTGGCGAGCCTATCCGGGTATTTGACTTCCCTGGTGAAGTTGATGTTCAAGAGTTTAACAACTTCATCCTTGAGTGCTTTGGAGTGTTGTACATCCATAGATCTTCTCTTCTGCCTTATCGGCCGACCTTTAGGATCGAGGTTCAACCTGTGGCACATTACCTTGGGGCTTATCCCTACCATGTCCGCATGCACCTACGTGAACACGTCGATGTTTTTCTTTAGGAAGCTCTCTAGATTATCAGCCACCTCGCCGCTCAAGCCACTGCTAACATTCAGTACACAAGTTGGGTCTTCCTCATTGACCCTTATCTTTCGCAATTCTTCTGTCGGCCTTGCTGCGGGCTCTTCTCTATGGATGCGAGGATTTATGGTATCCTTGAATGGTCTGGGGTTCGGCTTAGATTTTGCAGTGATCATTGTCCTTGGGTGCGGCCATTTCTGCGCGAGATTTATAGCTCGGTTGTAACATTCCTGAGATTCTTTGGTGCAGCTTTTGATCGTTGCAACTCCTCTGGTAGTCGAGAATCTCATTGCTTGGCAGCGTATTGACGTGACTGTGCTTAAATCATCCAAGATTGGCCTTCTGAGGATGACATTGTATGTGGTCGGGCAGTCTACCACTAAAAAGTCGGCCATCACTGTTCTAACCTTTGGCTTTGCCCCCAGGGTTACGAGAAGGTCGATTGTGGCCTTGGGAACTAAGTTGTCCCTAGTAAACCCATAGAGCGGTGAAGGGCACGCTCGCAAGTCCCTTTCTGTGAACTTCATTCCTCAAAAGGCTTCGAAGGAAATAATGTTCACTGTGCTCCCATTATCGATCATAACCCTTAATACTCTTGCATTATCGATTCTAGCCGCGATTACGATCGTGTCATGATTGTGGCAAGGGGATGTTTCGCACTCGTCTACTGTGAATCCCACTACCTCACTTTCTTGTTTGGGCTGCTTGGGCGGCTTCTGTTTCCAGCTCATTACCCAGGGAACTCGAGTCCGTTCTGGCTTCCCGAGCATATTTCTTACGAGCGCGTCTTGAGCTCCCTGCTATGTCAGGTCCTTCATAGATCATTCCCATGAAGACCTCATTGGGGTTTGTCGGAGCTTGTTGTGTTAGGTTTTGAGCCTGACTTGGAGCCTGGTTATTCTGCTCGCCAGGA